GAGAGAGAGAGAGAACATTCCAGATAGGAGCAGCATCTATAAAGGCTTGATGCTGGCCTGGTGTGATATCTTTTAAGAGTTCATTTGCACTCACTGTGAAAGGGAATAAAAGCAGTATACGACACTGGTGGGATTCATCAGGCTGAGCAAGATGAATGCTGTCTTTAACCAGTTTTTACTCCAGTAGTAACTATTTCTAATACTGTTCATTCTGTCCCCCAAATTCAAACTACCCTTGGTATTGTTTCTTTCTTTTCTACCCCACCCCAGGTATTGTTTCTTTTCAACTTGAACTTTCTTTGGCATTTCTGTAAATGCAGATCTGCTGGCAACAAATGCTCTGTTGTCTTTCAAAAGTGAAAAATGTCTTTGTTAAAGGATATTTTTGCTGGATATGAGATTCGGGTTGGCTTTCTTTTTTCTTTCAACATTTAAAAAATAGTGTTCCTGGGCTGGAGAGATGGCTCAGCAGTTAAGAGTACTGACTGCTCTTGCAGAGGACCCAGGTTCAATTCCCAGCACCCACATGGTGGCTAACAACCACCCATAACTCCAGTTCTGGGGGAATCCAACACATTCTTCTGACCCCCACAGGCATTGCACGACACGGGTGCACTTATACACATGCAAGCAATACACTCATACACATAAAATTTAAAAAAAATTTAAAAATTAAAAAAAATAGTGTTCCACTGTGCCTGCCCTCAACAGTTTATGATGAGAAGTCTGTAATTAGCCAATCTGTTTTCTATGGCTGCTACTTTTAAAGTTTTCTGTTGGTTTCCTAAGTTTGATGATGTGTCTAGGTATGATTGTCTTCATGTTTCACATTTTGGTCTTACTGAGCCTGTAAATGTATGTAAATTCATTTCACCAAATTTGGAAACCCAAACCATCTTTAGATTTTTTAAAATGTACTCTAAGCTAGGCGTGGTGGCGCATGCCTTTAATCCCAGCAGAGATAGGCGGATCTCTGTGAGTTCGAGACCAGCCTGGTCTACATAGCGAGTTCCAGATCAGCTGGGGCTACAGGGGGACCCTGTCTCAAAATGACAAAAAAAAAAAAAAGTGCTCTAACCTCTTTCGCTTTTTCTTCTGAGGCATTTTAGATTTTTTTCTTAGATTTATTACTTACATTTGTGTGTGTGTGTGTGTGTGTGTGTGTGTGTGCATGCATATATGTGCATGTGTGTGTGTCATGTGTATGCAAGTGCCCATGGAGGCCAGAAGAGAGCATTAGGGCATTGGATTCCCTGGAGCTGCTCTGAGTTGCAGATGGTTGTGAGTCACCTGATGGTGGGTGCTGGGAACTGAGCTTGGGTCCTGTGTAAGAGCATCAAGTGCCTTTGATTGCTGAGCCATCTCTCCAGCATCTGCATTTAAGACCTTTTGATGCTGTCCAATAGGCTTTTCAAACTCTTATTTTCTTATAGTTGTTTTCTTTTTTTTCTTTTCAGATTTTTTCTGAAAAATATTCTGAAATAATTTCTCTCGGTCTGTCTCCAAGGTCTCTGACTTTTTTCTATCATTTCCCTTTTGCTTTTATGCTAATCTTGTGAAAAGTTTACATTTCTACTTTAGAATTTCTTTTAGTTTTTTTGTATTTTCTATCCTTTGCTGATAAATTTCCATTTAATAATTTGTGACAAGTTTATTTTCCTTTACTTCCTTGAATATAGTTAAATTAACTGCTTCATAGTCAGTGTGTGAAGATTTCTGTGTCTTGGTCGTATCTGACAGAGTTTCCTTAAGAGTGTCTCATGATTCACTAGTCCCTCATCTACCACAGAACTGAGGGTTACAGCTGCCAATGTTATGCTGTGGACTTTCTGAATTCTGACATCTTTCTCTGAAGAGTATTTGATATTCTTGCTCCAAAAGGCAAAAAGGACTTAGTCACAATGAAATAATGAATTTTTCTCCTCTGCAGTGGGCAGAAGTTTAAATCAGTGTTTTTATTTCTCTACCTGTGAACTGTCTTGAGACTGTTTTCTCATGCAGGTTTCAGGGATTAGCCAGAGGTGTGAACAGTTTATACATAGAATTCCATGCTTTCCTCTGACTCATTCCCTTCCAGAATGCTCTGTACATGTTCCTGTGTCTTTGGTTGCTCCAGGTCTATTCTTTGGGTTTCTTGGTCAGAAGGTGGTAGTTTAGCCATGACTATGGCTTGCTCTCAAGCTAGAATCGTGAAACAGAGACACATACCATGCTGGGCCTTTCCTAAGCTTTGGTTCTCTTCAAAATATGCCTGGCTTTCCTTATTCTTTGGAGCCTTTGAGTATTTTTTTTTCCTTCAACTTTTTAGTTATCTGTAGGAGGTTTAGCCTGTTAGGGGCTGGCTTAGCTTTACTAGAAGTGGGGCCAGCTGGTTAGTTTTTAAGCTGAGGACTGGAATGCTCAGTCCAGCCTCTGTATGGAAGCTTAAGAAGAAGAAGGTAGCAGGGATGAAGAGATGGCTCAGAAGTTTAGAATGCGTACTGTCCTTCCAGAGGGCCTGAGTTCCATCTCCAGCTCGCACATCAGGCAGCTCACAACTGCCTGCAACGCCAACTCCAGGGAAATCTGATGTCTCTGACCTCCATGGGTACCCACATTCATGTGCACATACCCATACACATACATATAATTTAAAACCCTTCTTTTAAAAAGAGAGACAAAGCCTGGCATAGTAGTGTACACCTTTAATCCCAGCACTTGGGAGGCAGAGGCAGGCAGATCTCTTATGAGTTCCAGTCCAGCCTGGTCTACATAGTGAGTTCCAGGCCAGCCGGGGCTACAGGGAGACCCTGTCTCAAAAATAAATAAATAAATAAATAAAAAGAGGGACAAGTAGATAGACTAGTAGAGAGACTAGTTGGGGGGTTACTAGCTAAATCTGACGTGATTAAAAATGTTGGAAGTACTTTTTTTAACAGGAGTCATTTAAATAGATGAACTCTGTGGTATTCAGACATGAGCTGTAGGGATGGGTGAGGATGAGGTATTACATGACTCCATGCTGGGGTGTGAGCATAAACAAAGAGGTTTCCCAGGGTATCTGGGACCAATACAGGCAACAAAGTTCTCAGTAAGGAGTGTATTATTTAGGGTAAGCCACCTCCCCTAGGTCCCTGTCTAAGGCTGCTAAGGAGGAAACCCTATTGTTTTGGGAATGGTGGAAGAATAGCTTCTGGCCCATTTCTGCCTGGCTTTGGCTCCCACTGAGGGGAGGAATAGTAACACCTGTAGAGACTCTAGGGTAAGGGCTGAGCATGGGTGGCCCCCATCTACTCATCCTCCTGCAGGGGAAATGTTTTCCAGTGTTCCCTGCCACAGGGGCACCTTCCCACCTGCTGTAGAACAAGACTCCCAAGTCAGTTGGTTCCTGAGTAATCATAGCTGTCTGGCCCAGGATCCAGGCTGCATGCCCCAATCCAGTCTACAAGACTTGGGCTGATCACCTGCCTGATCCCTGTGCTTCTTTCACAGCTGGTTCCAAGCTTGGGCTGGAAGAGAAGAGGGAGGAGGCATTGCTTACTTTCTCAGTTAATTCCCAAAAAGACTGATATTCCTTGGTCTTCTCCATGAAAGTCTAGTATAAAACCCAGAAAGACCTTACAAACCTAGCTCCAAACCAAGCAGGACTTGTGCCTTAGGGTGGGTTAGGAAGAAGCAGGGCTCTGACAAGTGCTGGTTTCTTCATCTGCAGGTGAATGAGCAAATGAAGCTAACAGTCCTGGGGCAGGACTCCATCACTGTCACCTTTACCTGCCTGAACGAGACAGTAATACTCACTGTGTCACCGAAAAACTGTCCCCACAGCATCTTTCATGACAAACGGGTAAGGCAAAGTAGATGTGTAGGGCCAGACAGATAGGCATCCAGTCCCGATCCCAGGGTATCTCAAGAGAGCTTGCTGTGTGATAGCTCAGGGTTTTTGCTCCCCCTGATCCCACCCCACCTTCTGTACAATGCTCTTTCTTTTTCTCTGCCCTCATTCACTGCTTAATCTTATGAGCCCCTCATACACGAACCATTAGTGTCAGAGTTTTTTCGTTGTTGCTGTGCTTGGTGGTATACGCCTTTAATCTCAGCACTTGGAAGGCAGAGGGAAGTAGAGTTCTGTGAGATGGAGGCAAGCCTGGTCTACATAATGAATTCCAGGCCAGCTGGGACTACAGGGAGACCCTGTCTCAAAAAAACCAAATAAGTGGCTTAGTAGTAAATAACAGAATCCAGTGTAGACTGGTTTGAGCATGAAAAAAGACTATTTGCTAGCCAAACTGAGAAATTGGTTATGTGGCTTCACAGGGCTGGACATAGGCCCTCAAGTGTTTCCTCCAGATCTTTCCATCCCATGGTTCTGCTTTCCACTTTGTCATGTTTGTTCTCAGAGAGTCCCTTTCCGTTAGTGGCAAGTTGGCCATGGGCCTTTCTGGGCTTTTACTCTGCTACCTGTAGTGTTCTGAAATGCAGACATCATTATGCATGCATGTGTGAGGCCTAGATTTATTCCTAGTACTGAAAAAGAGGGGGGAGGGAACAGAGAGAGGGATGGGAATGAGGGGGAGGGTGTACAGTATCAACACCCACTAGCTCAATTGACTGCCCAGGGCTGACACGAACCTCATGGCCAGTGGTATGTGTTGTACCAACTAGGCAGACTTGAGTCTCCTGGAGGCCAAGGCATGCGATCAGTCCCAAGTGAACTATTCAGGCAAGGAATGAGGCAAAATCTTCCTAAAGGAAAGCCAAGGTGCTGGTCTCAGGAGAAATATTGCTGGTCAGGATAACAAGCAGTATATACTGATAACCCTCTCTACCACCCCTTCCCCTTCCAGGCCTAGTCTGTCTGTAACTGTACTCAGCCCTCCTGACTGTGATGACCTCTGTTATCTTCTACTCTCTATTCTTGCTCTTCTTTATTCACAAATCAGCCTTCACCTAACTAGGCGTGTCCTATGAGCCCTACTTGCTGATGCGCCAGGGTCCAGTACAAGGACTACTTTAAATGATGTTCAGTTCCTTGGTATTCATAAGAATCTCCATAGATGCCCAGATCTACATGTGCTCCAGTCCCTTGTACAAATGCTGTAGTAGTTACACATCACTATGTACATCCCCTGTGTACTTCCATCATCCCCAGATTGCTTGTCATATCTAGTACCGTCCATGTGAATCCAGTTCCACTATATTGTTCAGGGAACCAGGAGAGAAGTCAATTCAGATGCGATATATTTTTTTCTGAATATTTTCTAGCCTCAGTTGCTTAAGTATGAGGATATAGACCCCACAATAAAGAGGAATGGCAGCACCTTCCCAATATTTGTTGAAGGGGATACAACAGAAGCTTTTTAAGCCAGACTTTTCATTATTGAGTCTTCATTAGCACTACTGTGGCCTGGGTCAAGTCAACAGCAAGGAAAGAGACAGAGCAGAGGAAGAGGGCATCATCACTAAACCTTGAGGTGTCCAAAAGAGAACATCTGGCATGCAAAGTAAGACTGGGGTAACCAGGGGCTCATGTGAATAAAGCAGATCACTGCATTCCCCTGTGCTGTGCTTTTCTGGAATAGGCTCCAAGGAACAGAAACAGTTTATACAGGGCCAGTCCCTGTTTATACCTGCCCATCTGCAGGAACTCTAAATAGCACGTCTTTTCCTCTCTACAGTATCCTGGCTGGGATGATAAATTTTGAAAGCCTGGCCAAGAAGCTCTTAAGCTATGGTGACATCACCACAGTATGCCACAAGCTCATAGGCCCTCAGAGATGGCAGAACCCATAAGGGATACCTGGTCCACTATGCTTGAGTTACAGAGACACTTGCAGGCATTCACTGGTGAGCCATATTATCTGAAGAAGACACAGAACACAACCACCATCTCTCCGTGTTCCTGCTTTATTCATTCCATCTTCATTCCAGCATTTTCTTTCATTGATTTACTAACTAATTCAGTGTTTATTAGCACTAGAAGTATGTCAACGTGACTGCTGGGGTTGTAGAAATGAAGCTTCTTTCTAGTCTCTGAAACTTATAGTCTACTGGAAGTGACAAAAAGAACATAACACCAATTATGAACTCAGCCTGGTTAGTGTGGTGTGGGAGCGGGCACGGGAGAGCTGATGAGATATGAGGAGAGAAAGTGCTTGTTAAGGAGTTCATAGGAACACCTGGGAAACTCAGATGCCTGTGAACCTAGCCTGCACCGATTTCTTCAAGGAGAATTATAGCTACAGTGGGCTTGGGGTACAGTTCAGTAGTAGAGTACTTATCTAGCACATGTGAGGCGTGGGGCGCCACTCGTAGCAGAAAGGAAGTAAGGAAGGGGGAGGAAGGGAAGAAGGCAGTCAGTTAGCTTGTCAGGCAAACACAGGATTTGAATCCATTTGGGCTGAGGTAAATGACCTTGCATAGTGATGCTTCTCCCATGTCCATTTGGTTCCATGTCCTTACACTAATGCTCATTGTTCAATGCATACTGGACCTGATTAGCTCTGAGAATTTCCTGAGAACCATGACCTACGCAATGAAAGACTGCCCCAAAGGCCTGAGAGAAATGACTCCTAAGTCCATGTGGTCACATGCCCTCTAAGCTTGAGCAAACTCAGCAATTTAAGCCTGATTTTGCCTTACTTTAGTGCAACTGTGGCAAGTCAGAATTAGAAGCCCTGAGCTGTGCTATCTAGTACAGCAGCTACAGTCACATAGGGCTGTTGAACTTTGGAAGCCCAAAGAGTCCAAAATATACACTGCATTTCAAAGACTTAGTGGGAAAAGAGAAAGTAAAATTTCTCATTAATTGTCAATTTTCATTACATGTTAAATGATTGTTTTGTTTTGTTTTTACTGGGAAAAATAATTATTAGAATTAACTGTACTTTTAGGATGTTTTCATTGTAGTTATTATGCATTTAAACTAGCTCACATTTTACTTTTGCTAGACCATGCTGATGTCAAGAATAGGAACGCCATCAAGGGACACTCACAAAGCCACAGTCTGACAGTGCAGTAGAGGAGTGAAAAGTTATTTAAAATGACACAATAACTCAAAGAACATGACTGCCGTGGGGACATTTAACACAAGGATAAACAGACCGATACATTGAAACAGCCTCAGAAAACATACTGCATTATAGATGACAGATGCTGATGTGGATAGAGAAGGCTGGTTTGCCAAAAAACATTCTGGCTGCAATCTCTTTTACTTAAGAATGCAGGGTGTGTACTATAATATATTACAACTTTCTAACTAGATGAACAAAACCAAATGAATAAATAGCAGCATTTCCTGTGAGCCACAGGATTTCCAAACATTGACCTGAACTGCCCAGGCTCTGACAATCCATCACCTTAGGTCCTTGGAACTGGGGAAACTGCAAGGACCAAGAAAACTTGCAAAGTATTGGAGCTGGCAAAGAGCCTAGGCTAGGAGGAGGTCACAGGGCCTTGGGCCAGGCAGTTCTCTGGCTAAGCCTCAGTTTCTTCATCTGTATAATGATGTGTAAGGGTCCATCTGACTTTAGTGCACTTATATTCTAGGACTTTTTCTAAATCCTTTCAACCACCTCATATGTGCTTGTTTGGTGCTGGTTCTGCAAAATGCATGGCCACCTAGGAAGCTGGGGCTGGGGGAGGGTATTGTCTCTGTCATTGGGAAGCTTGTTAAATGGTTTCCCCAGACACCCATCCCAGAGAGAGCCACCCATCATAGCGACAGGCAGAATGGCAGGCCCAGCTTTTACAGCCTCGAGGCCTGGCTCCTCACTAAATATTTCTATCCAGGCAACACTTTGGAAGCGAGGCAATGCTTCGATTTAAATGCTTTATTAGCCCGGCGTGCCGCCTCAGATCCTTTTGGGAAGCAGTGTGGAAATAAATTACAAATAAATAAAATTAGCCCAGAAGCAGTGGCTGGGACCAATACTCCGAAGGATGGTTGAGGCTTTGTTATTAATTGTGTGTCCTTTACCGAGCTCTGGCCTGCAAAGAAAAGAATGACACAAAGACTAACTCTGTCACTCTAGAATATCTGTCTACTCCTCACCCAATTCTCCACCTGAGGCTTAAATGCCACAGAAGAAACTTTTTCATACTTACACTCTGTTAAGTGGGAGATACAAAAAGCATAAAGCCTGCTTTCCAGGAGCCAGCCAAGTATAAGGATAAAAGAAGTAAAAAAATGGAGAAGACCCCAGGAAGACAGGATGGGAATGGATGGGTATGGAAGTTCAGTAGAGATCAAGTGCATTGGTTGAGGAAATCTAGGAAGACTTCCTGGAGAAAAAAATACCTGACTACAATTAACTCCAGATTCTGAATGTGGTTTTGCAGTGCCACTGAAGCACTCTAGCTGTTCAGAGCAACATTCATGGAAAATAAGCTTTGGAATGGAAATTGGCACGCAGGAGTTTATTCAGAAGGGCCTTTTGAAGATTAGGACAGGGGGAGAGATTGACCTTCAGGGAAACTGAAGCAAAGGCGCTCTGGGATCCCACACGGAGCCCTGAAGCCACATGACCCTTTCAGAGTAATCCCGATGCTATATGAGAGGCCTGGACCTTTGTGCTTCTTGATGACCACCAGCCAGTCTGTGTAATCTTGGCCAAGCATGGTTCCTCAGTTAGGAGTTGTCTGCAGTCAATACTCTGGTAGCTGATGGGGTAGAAGGGTTCTAGGGGATTATGTTATAGCATCCACTATAGAGGGAAACCGGCAGCAAGTACTCCAGAGGAGCCATTGTCCATCCAGGCATTCATGAAAACAATAGCATTTACAGAGCACATTTTCTGTGAACTAGAGGAGCACAAAATGCAGTTCTGCATTCCAGGAACTTGCAGTTGAGGGGAAAAGCACAAACATACCAATTGTTTGGTTAAGTGCTAACTTGTCTGGCAGCCACATAGACAGCATGGTGGGAGTCAAGGCAAGGAGCAGTTCTACCAAGTGCAATCGGTGGGGCATCTAGGTCAGGTTTGGGCCTGTGAGCAGGAAGGACTGGTCCAAGAGGGACAGAGGTGTGTTATAGGCAGAATGAACAGCCACTTAAAAGCAGGACCAGTCCTGTTGAGCAGGTAGACAGGTCCCTGAAGGCAGGTGAACACTGCTCACTCGCCTTTGCCTCCCTTTAGTCATCTTTCAGAGTCAGCAACATGGATGACAAGATAGCGAAGATAAACCGAGCCCTGGCTGAGATCAAGAAGAGGTTTCAGAAGACAGTGACTCAGTTTATGAATTCGGTGTTGCTGGCAGCAGGTAAGGGCAAGAAGAGAAGATAGGCCTGCTCGAAGGCCTCTTATCTTGGGTCACCTGTCCCAAGGTTCAGTCTTTTTTAACCAGTCCCTCTTGAGTTTGAGGGACTCAAACTAGAGAATGACAGAGTCAGTCTTTAGGAGAGGTAGGGTCACCAGGTATTTCCCAAGAGAGTTGCCTGGAGGCACACATTTGGGACTGGTGAACTAAACCAACTTCAACCACTAGGCTCTCTCTCTCTTTCTGTGTCTTTGTTTTTTATTTTTGTTCTTGCTTTGTGATTTATTTATTTATTTATAATTTTTAGAGGGGTATCTTTTTGAGACAGGGTCTCCCTGTATAGTCCCAGCTGGTCTGGAACTTACTCTGTAGACCTAGCTGGCCTTGAACTCATAGAGATCCGCCTGCTCTGCCTCCTGAGTGCTGGAATTAAAGGCATGCACCACCATGCCTGGCCTGTGATTTACTTTTGTCTTATGTATATGAGTGTTTTACCTGCATGTAAGTCTACCATGTGCATGCAACACCTGAGTAAGGAGACCAGAAAAGGGCTTTGGATCCCCTAGAACTGGAGTTACAACTGGTTGTTAGCCCCCATGTGGGTGCTGGGAATTGAACTAGGTTCCTCTGTAAGAGCAGCCAGTGCTCTTAACTGCCAAGCCATCTATCTCTTTAGCTCCTCCCTATGTGTCTTTAATGTCTCTATGTGGCTATTTTTATTTTTTCTGTCTCTCGCTGACTTTGTGAGTCCCTCTGGGTCCCCACTGCTTTATTCCTTTTATCATTTGTCATTCTTTGTACCTGGCTCTTGTTCCTCGCTCTCTCAGAAGAAAAAAAGTCAGTTACCTTATAAGACTGTGGCCGCTAGTCTCAGAGCACACATACAGGCCCAGTGGGGGTGGCCTCAGGACCCTTCCATGTTAGGACTCTTCTTGCTCTCTGCAGGTAGACCTGGAGAAAAGGGCATATTGACCTCTATTCACCCCCTGCCTGGGCCTGGAGCCATGTTTTTCCAATAGCTTCTCCAGAGAGTCTCTTCTTGACTGAAGAGACTTAGATCAATTGTGTTCCTCCTCTGTGAGGCTTCCTTGACTTCCCTCACAAAGTAAGTCTCCTCTTCCCCTTCTCCTGGTTCCCATGGCTTCCTACACTACTCTAGTTGTCAATCTTACACCTAGCATTGTAAATATTTCCTTGTTTGCCTATCCCTTCTCAGAGGCCAGGGGCCTGTGTTGGGTTGCCTTTAATGCCTATCATCCTCATTCAATAAATGATAAGTGAATGAAGGAACAGGAGGTCTCTTCCTAGAACAGTGGAGAAAGCAACGCAAAAATATAAATACAATACAACAAAGAAAGCAGGTTTCAATGTGGAGACGAAGAGCAGCATTGAGGGAAGCAAGCAGTGCAAGCAGGACTGCCTCTGTGCCTAGCCTCCATGTTGAGTGCTGTGGAGAACACAAACCTGAGGGAAAGAGAGTGAAGCTGGGTCTTTGAGAATGGGTAAAAATGAGCTGTGCTCATTCTCCCCAACTGTGGACTGCATGAGGATTGGAGCACTGTGCTAGATGCAGAAGGATGCAGTCTGGGCAGGAAAGCCAGACTCAGTGGGTGCGAGCTCAAGCGAACCCTGTCTCTTCAGTGGCAGAGGCCCAGGGACAGGGGCAGAGGTAGCCCAGCAGTGTGGGGAAGTGACACAGCATCCCTGTTGACAGGTCTGTTCACCATAGAATACCCTGCCATAAAGGGAGAGACAGAAGTTAGTTGGGTCAAGTTGAAATCTGAATCCTTTCCTGAGTGGGGCCGTAAGTCAAGTTTGTACACAGGAGAGGCCCTTGTACGATCCCAGTCAGCCCGACCAGATTCCTTAATTGAAGACTCGTTGAAGGAAGAGGCTACATACATACCCATCATCCCTGTCCAGAAGAAGAGCAACAAAGTCGTGGCCAAATTCACACCCAGGTTGGCTTAATCCTTATTTCTTGTATAGAGCCAGGAGCTGTGATGGGCAGTAAAGACAAGGGGAACCACACAAGCCCTCCCTTTGCAGCTTCAACTCTAGGGAAGGAAAAGACAGGAGATACACACGCGGGCAAATTATTTAATGTGTATGTGTGTGTATATGCACATGCATGTGTGTGGGCACACACATGCCATGGTGTATGTGTAAAGTGTTGGTTTTCTCTTTCATTTATGTGGATTCGGGGATTGAACTTAGGTCATTGGGTTTGGTGGCAAGTCAACTGGTGAAGGCATCACACCAGCTCCAAATGACATCATTTTAGGTGGCAATCAAGACTAAGAAAAAAAGATGTCAAAGTGATGTGGCATAACAGGGACTGTCCACCGTCCAAATCTAGCCTGGCTGCCTATTTTTTTTTTAATGGATAAGCTAAGTATTTTTACATTTTTAAGTGCTTGTGGAGGGGTCAAAAGGATATTTTATGACACATGAAATGATCAAGATCCACCAGTAACATTTTACTGGCGCATACCCACACCTGCCCTTTCCCTACCATTCATAGCCGCTTTACCATGCAATGGAAATGTTGAATTGTCACAATGAATGTCAGGCCTGTGAAGACTAGGAAATTTACTATATGGTCCTCTACAGAAAAGACTGGCCTATTCCTGAGATAAAGTATGACCAGGAAGTTGGCTAGCACAGGCTACCTTGAGTAGAGAGGCCAGGAAAGTTTGTCTAAGGTAATGTTTAAAGAGAGGGGTGAAGGAAGAGAAGCAAGCATCCAAACAGACTAGAGGAGGGGGCATCACAGAGACCCAGAGACAAGTTTGGTTGTGTGAGAGATAGAGGATAGGTCAAAGTGACTGGGGTGCCACAAAGAAAAGGGCCATGGGACTTGTGAGATGGCTCAGCAAGTAAGGATGCTTGCTGCTAAGCCTGGATACCTGAGTTTTATCTCTGGAACCCCCATGGTAGAAGGAGAAAACTAACTTCTGCAAATTGTCCTCTGACCTTCACACATTATGGCACAAGTGCCCTCTTCACACACACACACATGCACACACACACACACAAAATAAATATAATTGAAAAAAAAATCTCCTTTTTTTAAAAAAGAAGGGAGCCATGATGTGAGTTGAGGACACAGGAGTAGGCAGGAGGTTCATCAAGTAGCCCTGTTAGTATTAGGAGAAGCCATTTATAACTTTAATAAATGAAGTTACCTTATCTGATTTTTCTTCTTCTAATTTAAAAATATGTAAAATATGAATATTTGGGTAAGATGGCTCAGTTGGTAAAGACACTTGCCATCTTCAAGCCTGATGACCTGAGTTCAATCCCTGGGACCCAAATGGTAGGAGAGAACTGACTCCCACAAGTTGTCCTCTGACCTCCACATGCAGGTGTGTCATGGCACACATGTGCTTATACATATACATGCACACAAAATAAACATAATTTTAAAATGTGAAAGGCACACAAAAGGATGAGCAAGTCCTACTTGTATGGTCCAGGTGCACATGCCCTGAGACCACCACATTAAGAGCAGGCCCTCAGTAACTCCACAGAAGCCCCTACACCAGTCTAGTCTCCAATTCCTTCCTCCCTGACCAAACATTCTAGCACCACAGATTAGTTTTAATAATTTATTATTTTTATTTTATGTGTATGAGTATATTGCCTGCATATATGTAAGTGCACCCATGTTGTTCAGTGCCCAAGGAGGTCAGAAGAGGATGTCAGATCCTCTGGAACTGGAGTTACTGGTGGTTGTTAGCCACCATGTGGGTGCTGGGAACCAAATCCAGGTCCTCTGCAAAAGCAGCCAGGCTGTTTACATCCAGGCATTATCTTTCTGTACTTGATAGCTCTAGAGGAGAAAGATGAGGCTGTTCTCTGGCCTTTTTCCAATCATGGTTCCAAACCTGTTGTCTAGATCCTTGAGAGATTTCCAAGCCTTTCTTCTGCCATCTACCTTCTTCCCTGGCCTTTTTCCACCAAGATTCTTTTCAACCTGTGCCCATGTGTCATCCTTTACATAAGAAGCTATATCTGATATGTTTTGCTTTTATGTGCTTTTAACAAATATTTGCTTGGTACTGTTATAGGTCTAAGAAAGTTCAGAAGCAGAGTCTAAACTAACCCCTCAGAGAATGTCCAAGCAACATTCACACAGCCACAATCCCTTGAGCCTGATGTTCACACTGTCCCCCTACACCAGCACAGCAACCTAGCAATGAGGGTGGCAGAGAATAAAGTTAAAATGTCAGTGTTCTTATACCAAAGCTTAGCAGTTTCCTTCTTCTTTTTATTTTATTATTTTAATTTTATGTGTATGAGTGTATTGCCTGCATGTATGTAACTGCACCTGTGTTGTTCAATGTCCATAGAGGTCAGAGGGGGTATTGAATTTCCCTGGAACTGGAGTTACAGACGGTTGTTAGCTGCCATGTGGGTGCTAATCCAAGTACTCTGCAAGAGCTGCCAGTGTTCTTAACTGCTGAGCCATCTCTCCAGCCCCAGCAGTTTTATTTATTTATTTATTTGCAAAACATCACCTAATTTTTATTTATTTATTTATTTATTTATTTATTTATTTATTTATTTTTGGTCTTTTTGAGTCAGGGTCTCCCTGTAGCTCCAGCTGGCCTGGGACTCACTCTGTAGACCAGGCTGGACTCGAACTCACAGGGATCTACCAGCCTCTGCCTCCCGAGTGCTGGGATTAAAGGCGTGTGCCACTACACCCAGTGCATCAGCTAATTTTTTTAAATCATTATTTTTTAAATTTTTAATAACTACATGATTTGAAGAAGCATTTCACTACACATTTAACATATTCAGTAACACTCCACAGAGCAAGAATACCTCTCTTTCACAAGTGGCTGCAAGTTTCCAGGTTCACAGTATGACTTTCTAGGTTCACAGTTGAATTAATAGAGTTACATATTATTGAACTCAGTAAAATCCCTGTAAGACATTAAAGTGGATGAGTTCTTTACCTTTAAAAAGGATCTCTATTTCATTTTAGAATATATTGTTCTTTGCAGAAAGACTCATTGTTTGTGTTAGTAACACTGAGATATTGGTGCTTGCATCTCTAATCTGTGTGTATCTGATTATTACTAGTCATAATTGGTTACACTTGGAACCTTGATGCCTGTGTGTGTCTATAAAGTCATTGGGTAGATTTCAGTGGTATTGTTTATCACCTCTACTAATTAGCATGACGTAAAGTTTCGTGCTTCCTCCTCAAATATAATACATCTTTAAAATTTGTTGATTTTTTTTTGTATGTGTGTGTGTATATCACACAGAACATCCCAAACCATCTTATTTGACTATACACCTAATTCCCAGATGGCACCCTCCCATAGCCTCCCTACCCCGACTAGAGCCCTTATACTCTGATATCCCTGCTACTGTCTACTGTGTTGTCAGCACCCCAGCCAATCCCCACTACTTGCCCTTTTGGTGAATCTAGTCATTCTATCTAGAGATCTTTGTTTTAGGCGGATCAGCTATTCCTCTTCTAGCAGCAATCAATTGTCAATACTCCTTTAGATAAGATTAGGATCTGTGGTTCATTTTCCCAGTTCTATATTGGGTTACTATCTGGGACTCCCTTTGGCCACCCTGGTCAACAACTCAAAAGAAGGTATTTCCTATCAGGCATTGTTGCTTGTTATGTAGCCTTTAGCTCTTAAAAATTATATTGGCCCCTTTAATCTTTGGTTATACTTTCCTTTTGGGTGTTTAAGGCCATACAGTTGGCCCAGATAAATCAGTTATTTTTACTCTTAAGGCCGTTTGAGGATCTGTTCCTCAGGGGTCACATGGGCTTGGGAGGAGCCCCTGGCTCCTTTCTTTTACCAGTTCCGTCT